CTACACTATTGTAGACAAATCAGGTCTGTTCTAAACTTTGTTGACTTTAGATAAATTATGGATTTGTATTATTGATAATTTTTTTTAACTTAGTGTGGATATATGTCAAATAGCGAAAGGGGAAAATAAATCAATTGATCTTAAATTAAAAATTAAAATACAAAAATATAAAAAAAATTTTAATGTGTACATTTTGCATTATTTTTATATTTCACACTTCCTCTTTTCTATATTTTTCTTTAATTACAAACCCGGTACCTACATTGCCCTAATGCCTAATTGCTTTTGACATTACATGGCTTTATTTCGATTTATTCATTCACATTTCTCTCTACGTTTTGATTATTATATTTTTCTTTGGTATGAGTTTCCTTTTTTTTAAAAAGACTTTCTTACTTCTCGAATTTACATCTTTATTTGTCTTTCGTATTTTATGTGTGTTAAAAAACATGTCTTTTGTTTAGTTGGTCATCTCTTCGCGTACGTGTTGTGTCAAACCCGCTCCATCTTAAATCAGTGGAGGAAAGTAACAAGGGTTGGTTGGGGGGCTCATATGAGCTTTGTAGGATTTCGGGGATAAACAAAATATACATTAATACTTCTTTGGTCGCTAAAATAATGATTTAACTTGTATAAAAAAAATGAAAGAAAATCAAATATTTAAAAAAAAAAAAAAATCAAAAAAAACTATTTTAAGAAAAAATAAAAATGAAATAAAAGAAAAAAAAACAATAAAAAAGCTTTGTAGGATTTCGGGGATAAAAAAAATATACATTAATACTTCTTTGGTCGCTAAAATAATGATTTAACTTGTATAAAAAAAATGAAAGAAAATCAAATATTTAAAAAAAAAAAAAAATCAAAAACAACTATTTTCAGGACAAGTTAAAATGCATTAAAAGAAAATAAAACATTAAAATGTCATAAAATGCTATACGCAAAGAAAGTAAGTGCAGAGAATATTTAAAACTTAAAAATTAGAAAAGAAAATGTCCATGGTTGATTTTAATTAAATTGGAATAATTTTGTAAACATTATGCTCATCTATATCTCTGCACAGTCTTTTTTAAATATTTTTTTTTAGTTTGTGTAGTTCATTTTATCATATATATATTGTTCAATGAAAATTTTTGAGAGACTTATTCTAATATACATTCTGAATGAAGTACATCAAAAAAAATACCCCAACAAATTAGCTTATTATTTTGTCAGAATCACGATATCCCATCCTACCCATGTTAAAAGGACTTAACCCTCACCCAGACAGCCCTAAAAAAATGCCAGAGCCCTTTTCTTAGACAGCATTTAACATTATCCAACCTAACCTTATGATAAAGAAAGTTCTTCGTTAGGTTTACAGTTAAATATTCAAGCTTGGATCCTAAACCTTTTAATAAATCGCCCAAAGTATTCAAGGTAAATGACCAATTATCTCTAACCAGAGAAATAAGCCACGGGCGCCACAAGGTTGCGTTCTCTCTCCTGTACTTTACACAAAATATACCAATGATATTCAGAGCTCAATTAACACCGTTTCAATCCTAAAATTGTCTGATGATACCGCCATAGTTGACTCAATATCTGAGGGAGAACGCTTAAAACGCAACTTAATTACACGTTTTATGAATAAGTCAGATTAAAAACTATATATTTATAAATATATATATATATATATATATATATATATATATATAAAAGATAACACAACATATGATATGATTCTATTTTTTAAACTCGTTTTTCACAGAAAGTCTTTTTAAAATCTCTTTTATATTTTTGAATAGATTTTCGCAGCCGTGAATTTATTTCCGTCGATCATTCGTCACACTATTCCGAAGAAATTACAATGGCCAGTAAATTAGCCAATCAAACAGGTTTACTCAAAATGCTAATGCTAATAAAACTATTTAAGCACGCATTTATAAAGTAGCTAAATCAATTTAGTTTTTTTCATCAAATATTTGCAATGAAATTCTATGTAACATTCATTAAACGTTTGGTTTCTATTGATTTCTAGATAACTACAAGTTTCTTGTAATAATGCCTTCTTATCTTATGCACATTTTTAAATTCTTAATTTTCAAAATATGTAAAACTCTTACTTTAAAATATTTACAGAAATGTTGGATGACCATACTGAGAGCCTAAAAAGGACTTCAATTTGTATGACAAGAGTTGATGTCACTGGCTGCATGCACAGTCTTATCAACAAACTCGGTAAAACATACTTAATACATACATTATTTAACAACAAAATATAAACTGAAAAAAACATATTTTTTTCTAATTATTATCTTATGAATTATGTATGCTCATGCACTGAAAAAAGCTCACTAAAAGACATTTTTATTTTTTTTTCAAATTTAAATGTGCACACACACATATATACATACATACATATATAAATATATATGTATATATATATGTGTGCATCTATATTTAATTTGTGATTCTTAGACCTAACGGACACTTCATCGTTAATCTTAGAGGAGATATGTGACCATTCCGCAAGATCAACAGAATCTTTAAATCAAAAGTTTGATGAAATGTGTGTTGACACTGAAAAATATTAGACTTTTGATATGGATGGACTAATTAATACTCTGAACGAAAAGAAATTGAGTAAGTAACCAAATATATTTTATAATGCCATACTTTTTTTTATTCCCTGATAATACTAAACCAAAAATGTAAATGAGGTTAACAAACAAAAATGGTAAAGCAATGCACAATTGTGCCTACTTTTTTTCCATACAAAAGCCATACAATTCAATTTAAAAAATTTCCATGCAACATTGTTCAAGTTTCTGTTTTTCTTCCTCCAATTAGATACATATGTATCCCTAGAGTGTCACATTCACGAAAGAACTAAGAACAAGTAGCAGATACTCCAATCATATGCTTATTAACATATCTACATTTGCTTGTGTGTGTGTGTGTGTTTGGTTTGTGTGTATAAAGAGAAATTTAAGAAAACTATCTAACGCTTGGTTTAATAACGAACAATATATAATTCACGGATCTGGTTGTGATTCTTACAAAAAAAATCATTAATAGCAATTAGTGTTTTATTTTCTGCGCAAATATAATCCTTTATTATTATTATAAATTAGAGATACATTTAATTTAATAAATTGTTAAGCAGTAAGCGTTATGCGCGACTGTGGAACTCAGGAAAAAAAACAACAACAAATTTATTTATTTTTTGGGGGGAGGGGGGAGGGGGTTTTAGGGTACATTTATATTAATCAATCAAAATGTCTGTGTGAATGTTTGCTGAACTATTGTTTAAGAGGCGGCAGTTAAGGTGTCAGACTATCTGACTCTTTCTAGGGCTATTTTCTAAAGGTTGGCATATAATAAAGTTAAATCTTTTTTTTTTTTAAAATGTGTGAACTCGATGCAAAAAAAATGCACCCTGTTAAGCCCTAGTTTCAATAATTTTCTTATTGTAAATGATGTTGTCACGAAAAAAATATTGAAGATACCAATATCAGTTAAGCTTTAGATTTTTAAAAGTTACTGATTTAAATTAATGTTTTAAAGAGCACATTTAAAAAAAACAACTATATTGCAATATATATTTTCTTAGTATTTCTTTGGTTTAAAGTTACATATTTTTCCAAGGCCAATCATGTTAGAAGCATAAAATCTCTATTGTCAAATATTCCGTTGTCTAATATTTCAAAGTCAAATATTCCAAAGGTCTGAAATATTAAGATGTCAAATATTCCGCTTAACCTTATGTTAGACTAGTTTCGGACATCGTCTCTCACATGGTCACGACACAGACTAGTGCAATTCATACTGTACGTGTTTTAATATTAACTCAAAACTAATAAATAGTTCATTGTACACTATGCTTTTTATTTCACTGTACTAATCAACCACTTGGTACACAATCTAGTGGCTACCTAATGAGATCCAGCAAAAAATATTACCCGTCAACAAATCCGACAAAAACTACAACCCAAAAAGTATTCCTCTGTCTTTCGCTCACTCTAAATCGTTATCTCCCTTTATAACTAAAAAAACTCCCCCCACCCGTCCTTGACATGAAAAGATTGCACACTCGTTAACTCAACGTAACTGTCAACATCTACATACGCACCTTTCGTTCCATGACCTTGAAACTATGCATAAATACCTCTTTAAACATAAGAAAAGTCTACTTTACTATTTTCCTTAAAATACATTTCTATACATTTCTATAGCTCGGGAAATTGTTGTAATTGTCTTTGATGATACAATACACCAATGCCCAAATCGTTTAGGTACGTAAATATAATAATAGTGCAATATTTCCTTACTTTATTACACCTGTAGCACTAATCAAATGTATATATATATATATATATTAAAAATCATTGTTTTTATTATTTTATTACTATTGTAAATATGATGTGTAAATATATTTTCCTTTTAAATTTAGCTTAAGAGCTTATATATGTTTTATTCAATGTAAATTTTGCCTCACCCACAACGCAATACACACGCACATCTAATAAGATCTAAGCGTTTCGTTGTATTAAATCTTATTAATCTCAAAAGTTCTATAGTGTTATATCACGATTTGTATTTTTATTCCATTTAAAAAGATAATAATAATATGTTTCTTTGTTGTTTTTTTTTAAAGTACTATTCATTGCTTGTTCTTTCTTAATTTTAAAGATTTATTTATATTGAAATTCAAGATGAAACGATTTCACAACTTTATTTACAGAATACAAAATAAAGCCTTTGTTAAAAGCAAACTACGTTTTTGTTAAAGTTAACGTTTCTATTTTCACAAATGTCTTTCAGTTGCACTGCAAGGATTTCATTGAAAGATAAAAGTCTGCGCATGCGTATGATCATTTATATAAGAGTCACTGAAACGTAATGGCCAGATGTTCGAATCAATTCTATTTTTGTTTTATTCCGGTATTTAATTACAAGCCTTTTTCCGAAATGCCAGATATGTGCGGATTTTCCCATTATACATTCATTATGTGTGCAAGGTCCCTTTGAAATATCGACTTATTTCACTGTACTAAACATCCACTTGGTACAAGGTTGGGTAATTGTATTTTTAGTAATTCTTTAAACGTTATATTTGAATATTGCAGTCACATCAGGATCACAAGCATGTATTTATACCCAAGGCAGTAGCATTATCTGACAAAACGTGACGTTAATTCAGTGTCACAGTAAACTGTGTTTAAAAAAAGTAGGTCACGAGCGTTGTCCGACCACTGCCGTTCAGTGATAGGCGCGGTAGGTACAACAGTGCTTGTAAACTAGGGGTGACGAAACGCCACGTAAAAACGGAATTGTCCCGTTTTTCACGATCGTACCCGGTGTCCCGAAAAAGTATCCCGGGACGCTTAAATGTACCGTTTCTAAAACCAAACTCATTTTCAAATCACTAAAACTTCCTAATTTATAATATAACTTCAAGTAATATTTTGGCCAGCTGTGTAGCCAGTGCCAGTAGTGATGTGGGCTCGCGTGATGGCTGCACTGTTCCCACTCCACCAATCTGCGAAATGCTCTTGCAAAAAGAGGAAAAGCAGCTATTCTTAGACTTTTTCAACACAACCTGGTCAACAGGCGTCATGGAAAAGGAGTGAGAACAAGCAGTGATTGTCCCTATCCCCAAGTAAGGCGAATTTCCTTAGAGCTACCAGCCCATATCCCCCACATCGTGTTTGGGGAAAGTAGCTGGACGAATAATCAAGACGCGAATATATTGATTCTAGGAAAGAAAAAAGACCATTCCCATAAACCATTCCCATACGGCTTCCACAACCGCAGGTGGTCAATGGACCAGATAATTAATTTGATCAAAAGTACAACCAATGAACTTCAGATGAAACACGATGCTGGAGCAGCTTTCTTTGACACCTAATAAGCTTACGATTAAGTTTGGATCTACTGTGTAACAGCCAATATGCATAAATGGATACATTCCTGTCTATCAAATAATTGCATGATGCCCAACCGTTTTGGGCACAACGCATTGAACAATATTTGCACTTGAGGACGGACTCCCCAGGGTCGGCCTTTATCTGCATCCTGTTCCTATAGCATACGTGTATTGACTAATTAATTAATCCGATTTAAGATATTTATAGCTTCCCGTCAGTTCCGACAGTTAGTGATATCTTCAATCGGCGTTGAATCATTGTCAAATCAGTGTTTGTATAGGGCCAACTCATTTCTAACGCATCATCCTTGAACTTTTAATAAATTGGATTGGTTACATGTGTGGAAAAGTGACGTGTGACCGGTTATACTTTTATGAACTTTAGTGAGACCGAGCGGAATGTGCCTGTAAATATGCAATTTTTCATTTTGGTGTCACCCCTTAAAGGCTGTTACACCGTGCGGTCCAAAGCCCCCGCACCAACCTAGCTATGCCACTGCAACAAGTAAAAAAAGTAACATTATAGTCTACATCTTCAGTAGGTTTATTTTTACCAGCTTCTTATAATATAGCCCATATGAAATGAGTGCCTTTGATAGAGCTGCTCATAAAACTTAAATCATTAAAGAACTTCGAGGCTTTTGATCCTCAATCGTGTAGGACACATGGACGAAATGAAAGAAATAAAGTAGTCATTATTCTGACCAACCACCAGTGGGCAATGGCTATAATAACTAACATAATTTAACAAGCTGTTAAATCCGCCATTTAGCGTTATCATCAACTTCAAGGCAGTGATGCTCATCCCGTTAAATAATAAATTATTTTCTTAATATGAAGTTAAAGAAATGTACAAATTACACATAGTTGATTAACGTACATGCCCACATAGGTTTTTTAAAGTAAATTCATTGAAAGGAAAAAAAAAAGAGTTTGATGTTTTTCCCCCGTCCCAAGCAATAACCATTTAAAAAAAAAATTATTTTGAAATCCTTTAATAGAATTTAATAGGAATGTTTTGTCACTTTTAGATTACGTACAGTACTTATGCTAAATCATTTCGTGATTTTTCTTGGATATTATGTGGGTAAACAAGGGTATTTTTTTCTTTCATATTTGTGTATTAAAATGTGAATTTAACTCAGCCAGGTATGACTATGTTTGAGTGGTGATTGAAATTTTTCTTATGAAAATGTTGGTTTTTTTTGGTTTTTTTTTTTGAGCGAAATTATGAACATCATTTTTTTTTAATTGTTAATTTTTTGCTCAAAGAGTAACTTAATAATTTTATAGGTGTATTTTGATAGAGAAAAAAAAAACCAAACATTTACACAAAACCTAAAAAACAACCAGCATAAAAATGTTCATTTAGTTCCAGTACATTCATTGTCATTATTGTTATGTTTAATGAAATTTGCTGTAATATTTTTGTCCAAGTCAATAAATGTTAGTTAAAATAAATTATTTCAGATAATTAAACATTAATTTCAATTGTTTCTGGTTCGTAAATATAGCATTTTTATCTCTAGAAAATGCTACTACATATATGCATACTTCGATAATGTACGTGTTTTGGATTGTGTGTATGCGTCTTTGTGTGTGTGTGTCTGTGTATATGTGTGTAATTGATGTCCGTTTGTAAGTGTTTCAATTTTTATGTGTTTGTGTATGAGTGTGTATGTTTATGTGTGTTAATTAATACCAATTTAAATGAAAAGATGGATAAATCTAAGGAGAGGTCCTGGTTAGGGCTTATCAGGGGTGGTTTTGGGTTCTTAGGGTAGGTTAAGGATGGTTAGGGTTGTGTTTAGAATTTGAGATAATCTAAGCAACATAAACAGCTTAGACAGAAATGGTATTTAAAAAAAAAAATTTCTTAAATAGTATTTTCTTCGAAATATAGCTATGGAAAAAACAACCTTCCCATCATAAGAAATTGACTTTGCAAACACTATGGCTACTAACTATGCGATGTTTATTTTTTCTGCACTTATTTGTGAGTATTATATTGAATTGAATTTTAAATATATGAAATGCAAAGTAAAGAATTTTTGCAAGTTTAATAAAAAAAAATACGTTTTTAGATCAAATGTAACTTGTTTTATTGATGTATGTTAAGATCACTAGACAACAAGACTTAATGTATACATATCATAGTTTATTCTATTGAACGTATAGTTTTAGAAGTAATATTCACATTTATATTTTAATATGGTCTAAAATAGTTAATATCATATATTCTTATTTAATAGAAATATGTATTTTCCAGATTGCCACAGTACTCAAAAGATTACAATAAAAGACTTTAGTTACAAACACTCCAATAAGTCATGCACTAACGTTCTGATCAACGATATTGACGTGGTTGAGTTCACATGTCTAGTGGATTATTCCGAGGCACCTGATGTAAACTACGTTATTTTTCAAACAAAGAAGACAAACGAAACCCGATTTATTTTTGTAAGTCCCTTCTTTTGTTTTCCTTTGTTTTTATTTGGAATTTTAATATATATTGTACAGAATACAACAAATCTAGGATTTATAAGTTTATAAATTAATCTTTATATTTTATTTTAATATAACTTTAATCATCTTTAATACATCTTTACTACGCAAAAAAGTGGACTTTACAAAAAAGAAAAATGCACATCATCCTGGATTTCATTTGTTATTTTTCTGAAAATACATTTTGATATCTAAAACATTTTTACTATTCCCAAATGCGAAACACATGATGATATGAGCTTAATATAATAAGTTATATTTTTCTTTAAAATGCCAAAATATAAAAAAAAAATACATGTTATGATAATCAATATAAAGTGTGCTAAAATATAACATACCTCTTGTTATATATAAAGCATCAATAATTTCCAGTAAATATTAGTGCTATGTATAGTATATTAACAATTTTTTTCGACATTTATTTATATCTGCTTTATTTCTATACGTCGCATGGAACTTCCCTTAAAAGGGTATATATATATATATGTATATAGATTTTTTATGCTTTTATTCTGGAACGTTCCACTGTTATAAGGCTTTAAAGATAAATAACTTGTTCTTGTTTATACTTATATTCAGTGTCAATGATTGTCCTCAACTGTTTTGAAATAAGATTAAACGGTATCATTTTTCAAGTTTCAAGAAAATTTGTAATAATTGTAGGGGGTTTTACAAACAATTTTCCTTATAATATATAAAGCTTTATAAGAAGTCTTAGGTTACAATACTTGCATCTAAGACAAAGTTTCTTAATCTCTTTGCAAATATTGGTGGATTTAATATTTTGAATATCAACATAATATTGTAAAGAAAAAGAACGGGAAATTTGAACAAACAAAGAAACATATATTAAAACGATGTATCTTTTGCTTTTACAACCAATTTTGAAGAAGGTTCCTATCATCAACTGATTTTAATGGTCCACTTTAAAAAAAAAAAAAAAAAAGATATTTTTATTCTTTATTCAATCTATATAAAAAAAAAAAAACAAATAATAAAACGTTTTATCTTTTGCTTTTACAAACAATTTTGAAGAAGGTTCCTATCAACAACTGATTTTAATAGTCCACTTTAAAAAAAAAAAAAAAAAAAAGATATTTTTATTCTTTATTCAATCTATATAACTCACAGCTGTATAATGTTAAAAAATTGAGTTCTTTTGGTGACGGGTTCCCAAAAAGTAAAAGTTTTAAAAGGCGACATCTTTGCAAATTCTTTTTTCATTTCAAAATTATATGTTTGAAACATTGATTTGTGTGACGTGTAAAGTTCCCTATGTTAGTTACATTTAAAATATCACCTTTTGAATGATGCTCTTGTTTCATATTAATTAATACATGGCAATAGTTTTGGCATACATTTTTTTTTCTTTTTCATTTTAGTTTTTAAATTCATATAGGACATTTTTTAACAGTTATTTTTGGTCAAATAATTATTATTATTTTCATAACCTGATATAACTTTTCTATTATTTTAATAAATTACATTCCGGTAATTTGTTGTTGGAAGGTTGCACAGTATCACAGTCGCCTGAATCAATATTGCTTTGGCATTCCAAAAATGTTACAAATACATGGTTTTTATTATTATTTCGTACTAACACATTTTTATAATATTTGCTGTGGGAGGTGATAATCACAAATTTGAGGACTTGCCAAAACCAACATTAAATCAAAATGTGAGTTGACTCATTTTTATGAGCATACAAATGTCTCAAAGACATCATTTGTTACAATTGGAACTATTTGAATCAATATAAGATTACACATTTAAATTACATTATTTCAAATTGTACATTACTTATAAGCTCATTAAATACCAAAGACAATAATTTATGTCTTAAATGTCTTACTGATAACTGATTATCACAAGGTAGTATCACAATGCCAAACCCTTTGCTCTAAATTAATTCCTGGACAGAAAAAAATTGTCACCTGCACAATCAGATGCTTAGGGCGAGCTCCTGAAAAATTAAGGTCTCACATTCAGAATTACGATTTAAGATTAATTAATGTATGGCAGCCTTCCGTCTTCGTGAGACGATGGAGTAGCTATATAGTTCCACACTTTGACGAGTGGCTCAATCCTAGAATGGCAATCACGGCCGCATCTCTCGCAGGAGAAAATTGAATGCGGTAAATTCTTGATTTCCGAATTGTTCTTTTTGATTCAAGCGCCTCGTTTCGAGTATCTTCTGCCTTTATTACTCCTTCAAACACCGTTGTTTGCCAGTTGCAGTTATTTTCGGCAATGAACTCCCATTCGTTTGTTTCAATATTGTCTTCCCCCATGCTTCGTTTGCAAACGTTAATAAATCTCAGGCGCGGTCGTCCAATATGTCTTAACCCTTCTGCCAACTCTGCATACAGCAGAATATTTGGGATGCGTCCTTCCTCCATTCTCCGTACATGACCTAACCGGCGAAGGCGCCTCTTGATTAGAAAGGAAAATATGCTAAACATGTGTGCACGTTCCAAAACCTCCACGTTAGACACCCTGTCCTGTAAACGAATGCGCAGAATGTGACGTAGACGTCTTTGATGGAAACTGTTGAGTTTCCACTCCTGGCTGGAGTCCACACTTCACTACCTTTTAGGAGCGTGCTAAGCACGAAAGCCTGATAGATACTTATTTTTGTTTCATCATTAGATTGAGATTATTCCACACACGCTTATTCAGTTTAGCCATAGTTGCTGCTGCTTTTGCAATCCTGATATTTATCTCTTCATCAACGGAGAGAGAACTAGAAATATTTGATCCCAGGTATGTGAAATGATCAACAACCAAAATATTATAATAATAATACCATCTTAATCAGGCAGTATGTATATATATATATATATTATATATATATAAATATATATATATCTGTATGTAAATTTGGACCCCTGGTCAGAATTGCTGCCGAGAAAACTTATAGAGGAATGGGCAAAAATTACTTTATTTGATATACTTAATGCAAATCTGCCTTTTGTAGGAGAACTAATTCATTAACTATATTAGCAAAGATTTTTGAGAATGAATATATATATTTATATATATACATATACATATATATTATATATATATACATATATTTATATATTTATGCATATATAATATATATATACCCCGAGTCGCTTAGTACTTAGCATTCCTTTCTATGTTGCATGATAGGATTGATGGACTTCAGTGGGTGTTGGGTGAGTTAACTGTCCATGTAGGAAGAGTTGCGGAATTAAATAATCTGTTTTTACTTAAATATTCCATTACTCATTATATTCTACATTATCATATCACACCGTTATGTTTATTAAGGTTGTCTTTATATGCGTTAATATTAGTGTTAATAAATGTGTAGTGGTATTTGTGGTGGCTAAAATAAAGATAAAAAAATGCACTGGTTATCACTCTATAATACGTGAGCATTTTAGTTATTGTATTATAAACACACACAAATATAAACAAAATAGGGTAATGTAATGAATTAATTTTTTGTTTTCAATTTTTTTTCCATCTATTTTAATAATAACTCATACATATAAGAATGAGCTAGGTTCACATAACGCTAAAAGGGAGATATGATTTAAGTACGATCGGATTCCTACAAACAATTATAGCTATTTTCTGTTATTTTATGGAAATCGAAAAAAATTTAATGTGCAACAAATATTTTAAATTCGCTTTTATTTTAGTAAACGTTTTAGTATTATTATTATAAATTACACATACATTTAAAGTATCAACTGAGTAACTATTTAAGCACTTTATATTTGTTTAAAAGTAATGAAAAATGTAAAAAAATAAAAAATCATGATCAAAGAATTACACCGTAATTACATTTATCGGGAAAAGCCAGACATAAGGTCGTTTTAGTGCGTCTTTTAGTGCGTCTTTTAGTGCGTCGTTTAGTGTGTTATTAACATTGCGAAATACAATATTAAATTAATTTGTTCTAAATAATTACGTAAATGATGTCATAGCGCGAACAGCTTATTTGTCCAAAACTTTTAGGTTTTTTTTAAATTTAATAACCTCGAGTGACAAAACTGATACTGTATTTTACCTTCTTAAAAGTAAAGTTAATAAATACAATAGATTGCTCTTAAAATTGTTAATACAACACACACACATTTCTGCTGTGTATATTAACATTTAAAAAATGTGCCTTTTTTATTTAAAAAAATACATTTATTGAAATTATAACGTAATAAAAATAACCTTTACTATAATTATAATAAGAAAATGCGTTTTAAGTCAAACAGTGCAGAGCAACTCCATAGCCAAATAGCATTGACTAATCAACTTATAACTAAAACAAAAAAGAACGAACCATATGAAGGGCAAATTATTTTAGTTTGGCTATGGAAGGGACTACATTAACTACAAAAATTTGTCTCCGGCGTACTGCTGCATAGATGGCTCAGCACCAGAATGTCTCGTCGAACTTATTTATAAACATGTACTTCTGAAGAGCTTGCGGTCTTCAACACAGTACTTATTGAGTGTTCCTAAATTGGATAAACACATAAAAAAGTCTTACGGAGTGCGCTCTTTTGAAGCGATAGCGCAAAAATTATGGAACGGTTTGCCTCAATCTTTGAGGCGAATTGTAAATGATAAAAAAAATCATTTAATAAACAATTAAAAACTTTTTGTTTCAATAGATATCGGAGGACCAGAGAGCAGTGAGCATGCTAAAGTGTCATGGATACCAGCGCGATATAAATATCAAATCAATTCAAATCAAACAATCCGGTAGACGATTGTTCTAAATTTATTTAAATCTCGGTAGGGGAGGGGTTGGTTACTTTGACTTAGGCAGCACAAGATACGTCTCAAAAGAAAGTAATGAATTTGATAAATAATTAACCTTTTTGGGAAATACAATTAAGAGGTAGTAATTGGGAGGTGTACTTTTTCACGTGGATGACAATATATTTAAATCCTATGGTATTACAATTGGGAAAAAAGAGATGTTACATTCTCTTTTTACAAATATGTGTATGTTCCTTTTTTTCAAGGCAGAACAAGATACGTCTCAAAATAAAGGAATGGTTTGATAAATAATTAATTTTTTGGGGTAAATACATGTCGGAAGTAGGAAATAAGATGTGTACATTTTTACATTGATGACAACATAGTTAACTCCTATGGTATTACATATGTGAAAAAAGAGATGTTACTCTCTCTTTTTACAAATATACTTATGTTTACCAATTAAGAAGATCAACGGTGTTAACAAATCTTGGGTAAATTTATATAAGTATAACCATGAATATCAAAACCCAATCCTTTAACACACTTGAAAAATTAATTTAAAAAAATATGAATTGGTTAATATTAATTACTTTCAACAAATTTAAATACATTTTTGTTTTAACTTTGCAAAAAGTAAAGAGATTTGCAATCTATGAGATTAAACATTTAAATTTAAAAAACAACGACAAGACTCAAACCTGTTATAGATGTGAAAAAAGGTTGCGCGATTCTTCTATAGATAAAATAATTCTTTGTTTTACGATTTTCTGATCATATATATATTTTTTTCAAAAAGGCAAAAAAATGTGTTTAATTTATTTGCTGGAGATATCAATATATATCGAATTTCTATAACATAAAATATTTTTATATCCTATATAGAAATTTTAGTGTAAATTTAAGGCAAATTTTTAAAAACAATTTTTAGGGAAAAAAATTTGTAATTCAAAGGCACGAAAATGGGTAAATCTAAAGTATTTCTCTAACGTAGTAATTTTCCTTCAATTAATTTCTTTAGTGTCCAAAGAGATATAATTAGTAACAACTTAGACTGTGTAATTTAATGTCATGTTTAGAGTGAGGAAAAAAGTAGTGTAAGCGCGTGAAAAGGAGTAGGGTAGGCCTATAATATATAGCAGATAATTTCTTCTCAAAACGTAATGAAGTTATAAACGTAAATATTATTACATGTTTAAAGTTATGAATTGTGACGAGTTTCTACAATAGCAGTTAGAAATTATTGCAATGGACCTACCATTATTATCCCGATAACATCGGGTCATTTATTCTAGTTTCATATAAGTAAAAGCATTTTATAACACTTTTAAACTGTTTTCATACTTATATGCTATAGTTCATAGTTGGAAAGGCTTTCGCCCGAGGTACGTTAACACGCCTATATATCCTACATACCATAGCATCGCGTGTACTCCCAGAATCGTAATGTGATTATCGCGCCGGTAGGTCAACCATAGACATGATCTTCTCTCTGCGCCAGCTGCAGGAGAAATGCAGAGAGCAACATCTGCCGTTATGCATGGCGTTTTTCGACCTCACTAAGGCTTTTGATCTTGTCAGCAGAAGCGGCCTGTTTTAGATCCTCAAAAAGATAGGCTGCCCTACACGACTGCTTAACATAATCAAGCAGTTCCACAAAAACATGCAGGGCACAGTGTGCTATAACGGAGCTGCCTCAGAAGCTTTTTATTGGGTAGTGGAGTAAAGCAAGGTTGCGTGTTGGCTCCTACTTTATTTTTCAATCTTTTTCTTCATCCTACTCCAGTATGCCTTTAAGAACAACAACGAGGGGATATACATCCACACTAGAGCTGACGGCTAATTATTCAACATTGCCCGCCTTAGAGGTAAGATTAAAACAATTATGGTCTTGCTGCGGGAGTTCTTGTTTGCAGACGATGCAGCTTTGGTATCTCACACAGCAGACGGCCCGCAGAGCCTCGTATACAGCCTATCCGCTGCCTGCAAAGAGTTTGGCCTGACAATTAGCCTAAAGAAAACAAACATTATTGCACAGGGCGCTGACTCCCTCCACACTATCGTTATCGACGACTACGACTTGGATCTTGTTGACAGATTAACATATCTTGAATCAAACATATCGAGCACACTCTCAATGGAGGATGAGATAAGTGGAAGGATAGGGAAGGCCGAAACTGTTATGGCCAGACTGAAGAAAAGAGTCTGGTCAAACGCCACACTCACCACTAAAACTAAGCTGCATGTGTACCAGGCCTGCGTACTGAGAACACCTCTGTATGGATGCAAGTGGTGGACCACATACTCTAACCACGGAGTAAGGCTCAATGGCTTCCACCTCAGATGCCTGCGCCACATCCTTGACATTAAATGGCCAGACAAAGTCCCCAACACGGATGTCCTGTCCCAAACAAACATGTGTAGCGTCGCAGCCATGTTAATCCAAAGACGCCTCCGCTGGCTTGGACACGTCCAGCGAATGCAATCTGATCACATACAAAAGGACGTGCTATACAGTGAGCTTGCGACAGGAAAAAGGTCAGTTTGACTGTTTCGTCTGGGATACTTAGACATATTCAAAAGAAGCATGAAGTCGACAAACATCGACATCTCAAACTGGGAGGGCATCGTGAAGGCAGGATTACTCCATGCGGAGGAGCAAAACAGGGCGGGAACAGCTGCAAAAAAAAAAAAAAAAGCTAGATGGAAGGCCGTAAATACTTCTCCACCACATTCGTGTATGGGAAATGTAACAGAGACTGGCATTCGAGTATTGATCTCACCAGCCACACCAAGAGCTAATATATATATATATATATATATATATATATATATATATATATATATATATATATATATATACAAATATAAGAAAGAGCTAAAGGGAGATATGATTTAAGTACGTTCAGGTTCCTAAAAACAATCATAGTTATTTACTATTATTCAACGGAAATCGAATAAATTTAAATGCGTACAAAATATTTTATATACGCTTTTATTTTAGTTTAAGTTATAGTTATATTTTTAAAAAAAATACAAATACATTTAAAATATCAACTAAGAAACCATTCTAAGCATTTTTTATGTGTTTGAAAGTTATGAAATTATAAAAAAAATAAAACATGATCAAAGAATTATACAGTAATCACATTTATCGGAAAAACCCAAGCATCAGTCGTTTTTAGTACGTATTTTAGTGCGTTGTTAATATTGCGAAATAAAAATAAAATTTAAGGCAGCAAAAGATACGTCTCAAATAAAGGAATGAATTTGATCAATAATTAACCTTCTTGGGTACATTCATATCGGAGGTAGGTAATTGGATGTGTACATTTTTACGTGGATGTCAAAATATTTAAATCCTATGGTATTAAATTTGTGAAAAACGAGATCTTACATTCTCTTTTTACAAATATGGATACACTGTGTATGTTCATTTTGATCAAGGCAGCGCAGGCTAAATCTCAAAATAAAGGAATGAATTCAATCAATAAATAATTTTCTTGTGTAAATACATGTCACAGGTGGGATATAAGATGTGTAAATACTTACGTGGATGACAACAAATTTAACACTTATGGTATTACATTTGTGAAAAAAATATTGTGCTACATTCTCTTTTTACAAATATTGGAATGTTCATTTTGCCTAAGGCAATACAAAATACGTCTCAATATAAAGGAATTAATTTGACTAAAAATTAACCTTCTTGGGTACATACATGTCGGACATAGGAAAAAGGATGTGTACATTTTTATGTGGATGACAATATATTTAACTCCTGTGGTATTACATTTATGAAAAAAGAGATTTTAAATTTATTTTTTACAAAAAAAAATATATTTACCAACTAAGAAAATTTGAAAATTAAATTTTGACAAATGACGATGGGTTAATATTTTGTTGTTTTTTAAAGTGAAAAAATATATATATATTATTTTTTTGCAAGAAGTAAAGATGTAGACTTATGTATTTTTATGAGATTAACAATTTCCTTTTTTTTTAAAGACAGTCAATCTGATAAAGGCGTAAAAAATAGTTGCGAGATTCATCTTTGATAAAATAATTCTTTGTTTTACGATTTTCTGATAATGTATACTTTTTTTAAAAAAGCAAAAATGTGTTTAAATTTTTTATGAAGATATCAATCTATATCGAATTCATTTAATACAAAATATTTTTATATCGTATATAGAGTTTTGTTGTTTTTTGAGATTAGTTTTTTTTTAAATTTGAGATAAAAAAGTAGTGATTTAAGGGCATAAAAAGAGTTAAATCTAAAGTATTTCTCTAGCTTAGTATTTGTCCCTCCATTAACTATTTTAGTGACAAAAGTGATATAATTAGTGATAATTTAGATTGGGTAATTTAAGGTCATGTTTAGAAGGGGAAAAAAGTAGATTAGGAGCGTGAAAGGGTGTAAGGTACGCGTATCATATATAGCAGATAAACTCTTCTTAAAACGTAATGATGTTAGAAACGTAAATATCTTTAAATTTTAAAAGTTATGAATGGGGATTTTTTGCAATAGCAGTTAGAAATTATCGCAAAGTACCTACCATTAATATCACGATAAAATCGGGTCATTTATTGTAGTATTTAAATAATGAAAATAATTGCAGTTGACGGATTGCAATATTCAAGAAGGTTGTAAGGACTCCCAAACTGCACATGGTAGACAGATTGGCAAAGATACCATAGAGATAACTGTCAGAGTTATTGCAAAATCATCTTTAAGTGGAGCTAAATTAAGAGGACTGCTTTACACACCAGACAATAAGGCAACAACTTCTAGCGAGGTGATATTTCCAAACATAAAAGGTAACGTGGAAGATGTGTCTTGTTCTGTTTAATGCGTTATACCCCCACTACTAAGAAAGCAAATCTCGAAAAAAATGTGTTGGAAAAGCATCATCCCACGTCTAATCTAACATTGGTATCCAAGATTTTAGAGAATTTTTTTTCTCCGCCAGCTCCTTAACCACCTCATTCAGTTCGCTTTTTTTTAGCCTTCCCAGTCAGCATACAAGGCACATCACTCTACTGTTGCAGCCCTGTTGCGGGTTAAAAAAGACCCTCTGTCATCTTGTGGTGAGGGCAAGTTATCCATTTTGTCGTTACTTGATCAATCGGCAGCGTTTGATACGCTTGACCACGGCATACTTCTCAATAATCTGCAAAAAACTATCGGTTTGACCGATACCATCTGAGATAACTCCGCTGGCATCTGACAAATAGGATACAATCAGTTATCGCAAACGGCTTGACCTCGAAGCAATCTATTATCAAATTCAATGTACCCAAGGGCTTGGTCCTATGTCAGGTGCTTTTCACTATGTACGTTAAGACCATGAGTGCAGAGATCAAGCAGTTTGATATGCTTCAGGAATCCGTGCTACCGTCTCAGTTCCCTCAGCTTCTTATTATAACACAGAAGAGAGTGAAGTCAGTTAAGCACTGGATAACCATAAACAATTTTAAATTAAAAGATGAAAAAACCGATCTTATCCCGATTGCTAGCGCTCAAAAGCTAAAACCTGTAAATAACACACCATCACTTACTCTCTCAGGTACACAGATTGAGTTTGCTCAAAAAATGCAAAAGCTTGGTGTCTACTTAGACAGAACACTAACTATGGAAAATCACATTAACATGCTTTGTAAGGTGATTTTATTTAGAGATGCGCAGTCAATTCAGAACTTTTTTAATGCTTGATGCAACACAGAGGCTGGTGTCTGCATTTGTGCTATCATGTATGGACTACTCTAACTCTCTCATTGTGGGTCTTGCAGCTACGCTCCTGGATATAATTTTAAAAGCACATAATAATGCGACTCACGTTGTTTTTCCAAAACGCAAATTCTACCATGCTAAAACACTTCTAAAAGAGTTGCATTGGCTGCCAGCCCGCACTCTCATAGAGTACACAATTGCAACTCTGTGCTACCGCTGCTTGTATGAAGTTGCACCGTCCTATCTAAAAGCGCTCATGACGCCTTATTTACCCTTTAGACTACTCCACTCATCTGATAGTGGCAAACTCTCGATACCACGTGTTCCTTTTGAGACTTATGGTAGGCGCACCTTTGCATTTGCTGGCTAACAAATTTGGAGCACACTTCCTGTCGCTCTCAGAAACAGCCAGACACTGGAGTCTTTCAAAACCGATTAGGAAGCACACCTTTTTCACAAATACCTAATCGGGTGATGTTGTTTACCATCTTTTCCAGCTAGAAATTATCTTCTAGATGTATATTTTCATGTATTGTTTATGGTTACAAGGGATAAAAGTCTTATAATGTGTACGCTCGTATGTGATTTTTGTATTGTTTTATTTTGTATTTCAATGTAGTAAAATATTGATGATTTCATTTCTATTTAATGTGGTTTACTATGTACCACGATTCGAGCCTTTGGGGATAAAGCGTGATTTTCAAATAAACTTTATTTTTATTGAATACTAATAACCTTACTACTTTTTCATTATGTTTAATGAAGGTAGACAATTATACTGAGCGTGTCTGCTGAAAAAAAAAACCTCACAATTTAGGTAAAATACAATCGTCTTCTTTTAAACCTCACAATTTAAGACATCTGTTAATCGCACAGTTGAACTGATTATTGTTTCAGATCTCAACGACGCTGAAGGAAAACTTATCATCAATGGTAACACAATAACACAATCAACACAGTGTCAAGAGGTTATCACCCGACCAGAATTAAACGTTCTTTTTGTGTGTGAAAGTCAAGTTTTACCTTGTTTGATAGAAATATCAACTGATGGTTCAATTAAGAGATGTCAAGGAAGAGGAAATTGCACTTGGAATAAAGATTACCCTTCTCAAAGTGAAGTTTATGTACTGATTAAATATGCAGTTTGTAATTTAAATGGAATCTCCAAGTCTGTTTCATGCAGACTAAACTTTGGTAAGGACCAGACAAAAGAAATTCTTTTTATTATTACTATTATTAATATTTATCATATTATTTTATTGATTAAAATGTGATATTTATTTTCAATATAAAGGATTATCTGAAATGATGCTTGATAAAAAAATAAAACATTAATTTTTTTTTAAGGACAAAATTATGCGTAGTATGCTGCATGAGTTAAAATTAGCGGTAATGAAATATTTGCATCTTGAAATCATCCTTGCGTTTGTCAACGTTGCTTTGGTCGAACTGTCAAGTGTCTATAGAAGTGAAAAGGATTATATATTTAGTAGAGTTATTTTAATTGGTTGTTTCAACAGGGTAAAATCGCTTCACCCGTCTTTACACGTATAGGAAAACGGTTATTTATTTATTTTTTTAAGTTATAAGAGCGATTCAGAGATAGATTTTTTTAAAGGCATCAAGTAACACAATTCATTAAAAGCACTAAGGAATAATCTGATTAAATATGACTCAAACATAGGGCTAAAATTTCAGTCAACAACTGCTAAAATGAACATCATTAACACCTCAGAAAAACGTGACAGTTATTGCTATTCACAGTTTACAAGCCCGTTAACGCGCTCGAGATAAGCCAGTTTCAGTACTGTTAATTTTGGCTACTACTGTAATTCCACTTTTGGTCGTATCGGTGGTGTGACAAAACACAACACGTGTGGTGTGTACATGAGCAGGGAGGGAAAAACATTACGACGTTAATTTAATGTTGCTTAAAATGATATTTGCCAAAATATTTTAAATAAAAAAACTTACTAAAACGCTATTTAATTATATTAATAAATATCATATATTTCATTAAGTTTCTAATCCATAAGGAAGTCCAAACTATGTTTGTATATTAAATAGAATATTTCACCAACAACGTAATTAATGTGTTATTTTATGCAAATTAATAACCCATGTGACAATTATCAAGATGTTTGACGAATGGCGAATATTAGGACGTAGTAATGATAATTTAAGGATAAAGGAATCATGTTCTTCTACACCAGGGGGACTCCAAACTTTTCAGCCCGAGTGCCGCATTAACTATCAAACAGCAGTTTGGGGGCCGACTACACACTCGAGGTCCAAATAAATAAGAATGAAAACATGGATGTTGTTTTGAATTATCTATTCAATAACATTTTATTCAGTTATTATTTAATAACACATTGATACACTACACATGAACGCGCCTCTATTTCAATTCAGTAAAAACATAGCGTGCATGAAAGCAGCGGCATATCTTGGCAGGATCTCCTCGGGCCCCATTAGAGGGCATAGCGTGCCGCACGCGGCCCTCGGGCCGTAGTTTGGAGTCTACACAAAAAAAAAAAAAAATTAGAGTTATAATAATTTCCATTACATTAAAAAGTTTCAAATATAAACTATATATACGCGCCTCTATTTCAATTCAGTAAAAACATAGCGTGCATGAAAGCAGCGGCATATCTTGGCAGGATCTCCTCGAGCCCCATTAAATAGCATATCGTGCCGCACGCGTCACTCGGGCCGTAGTTTGGAGTCTACACAAAAAAAAAAAAAAAATAGAGTTATAATAATTTCCATTACATTAAAAAGTTTCAAATATACACTATATATATATATATATATATATATATATATATTATATATATTTACATATATATATATACATATATATTGAAGTTAAGATTGGGTCAAATAAGACTGAACTGTAATAACAACCGATACCTCTAACAAAGTATATGTATCTTAGCCCTATCCACCCAAACAGTGTATCTCCAGCTCATTTTTTATGCTTTGTTACACCTAGCAATGACTATTGTGTGTTTTCAATGATTCTGCCGTGACACATGATGGGAACCACTGTAATAACTTTTAATTTTATTAAGACAAATGTGTAACTACTAACACTGACTTGCAAAAAAATATTGTTTTCAATGTAACACAAATAACCTGAAGAGGGTTTAATACTTTATTATTACTCTCCAAGAATACAATTCAACTGCTAATGAAAATGACGGGAGCAACAATCCAATCCGATCAGGGCTATATATCATTGCCGTGATGATGGTGATAATACTGTGCCTGTAAGCATCATAATTAATGTTAAGCCATCATGTATAATACAGATGTGAATCATTAAACACTAACGTATACCACTATATTAACAACAGAAAATGTAGCTAGATTATATAAGTACTTACACACATGCATTTACATTTAAATTTATAGCTAAGCATGATATTGTTTGTTTGTTTGTTGGTTCGTTCGTTTGTTTGTTTTATATATAAACAAAATGAAACATTTAACCCAACAATTTAAAATACTTTAAATTAATTATACATATAACAACAAAACGGCATTTATTAACATCGTAAAATTAAACTTTGTCAACCCAGAATGTATCTCGAGCACCATCCACATTTAAAAAAAAACAAATATAAAATAATTTATGAATAAGTTAAATAAGCATATACAATTTCTTTTTTTGTTTTTAATTTAAGTTTGATCGCGTCAAGCCGTGTAAACAAAAAACAATTGAGCAAGATATGTTAAAGCTTGGAACAAAGATATCAACTGACATTTTTTTCTAACTACCATCTTCAGCAGACATTACAAAACAATCATTTTAAAATATATAAATTTAAAAAAAAAATGTATTTTATTTAATTGACATGATTTATTTTTTCTTATGTTGTTTTGTCCTAATCTTAAACCTAACCGTGCTGATTTAGGCTTTTAGCAGAAACGTCTTTTCAGTTTTCTTTCTTTTTTTAAGCTTAATCATGTTTTAAATTGCTTTATTTTCTGTATACAAATCTCCATTAGAATAAACTGTTTTTTAAACTTTACCTTTTAACACCATATAATATTATCTATAAAATCGAGGCATTCAAAACATGTAAGCAAGTGATTAATGGCTCTATGATCTCATGAACTTATTAGCAACAAAAAAAACATGCCTTTTTGTCACTAGATGTTAATTATTACTGCTTTCATATGTATTTTAAATATTGTTAAGTCTATTTTTAAAAAAAAAAATCTGTCTGTTTTACTTTTTAAACACTATTTTATCAGTTTCCGATCCTGAGCCATCTCCTTACTGAAATATTCCTAATTGTCTCTTTCTTACTCGCATCCTCAGATTATATTTGTTTACCAAGAATTTTGTTTACCTCGCTTACATTTTGTCCAATCAATCGTGTTGCAAAGTCAAAATAAGTCAACTCAAGATTAACTTTCAAAGATTTCAAAAGCCATTTTCCATTTCCTTAATTGGAAAACAATATTTATTTACGTTGTGCATAAAAATATACAAATATTTTTATGTACTAACATAACTAAATCCGGAACAGAGTGCTAAGAAAACTTTGAAAAACAAACTTTTTTAAAATACATAAAAATACACTATGTTAAGTTTGTAAACGCAACAAAGAAATATCGTCTCTGTTTTTCTTTAATTTTAAAATATATTGTTTTACCTTTAGGCTGCTATTACAGATTAAGAAGCAGGTAAGTGTCGAAATATACAATATTTTACAAATTAATAGCATGTTTTCAGTCACATGTGGGAGGGTAAACGAATTAATCAGAAATAGCTATTCTTTTTCTACGTAATACTTGATATAAGACATACTTTTAAATAATAATAATAATATGTTTGGTGATAAACAAAAAAAGATTAATTGCATCATTAAGAATATCAATTTTGCGAAAGTAGCTTTAAAGATATATATTTGCTACTATTTTTAAATCCTCTTTTCTAATTTGTTCCTTGATCAACTTTTTAAAAAAAACATACAAATTAAAACAATTAGAGCTTTCCCGACATATTCTCCTAATCATTTGGTAATTTACCATACAATGTGGCTGCCGAAGTTTCCGTCTTATGTTGCAAATCATTACTTGATTCTTTTTTTTAAACGTCAAAACACAACAAATTCTTTGTGTAATATTACTATATACCAACAGTGAAACTTTATAAATTAATGTGAATATCACTTTGCTAGAGTAGAAATGATTAGCTCTCTTTACCACCATTAGAAAATGTTTATTTTAAAATATTATTTGAAAAAGAAAGACAAATATATTTCTTAAAAATATTAAATATATTAGTTTATTTTTAGAAAAATACAATTTCTAAACTAATACATAATCAAATGATTTTTTATTATTTTTATTTACTTAATATCTGATACATTTAAATATATAATTATTAAAAGTCATAACAACAATTCATTAAAAAAATCTTTGTTAAAGTATGTACATAAATAACTATTCTGGTGCCTGAAATTAATTATATAATTTTCCCCCATTTTTACTTTCCTCCTTTTTTATAAATATATGTTTTTCTTTCACATTCTTATGATGTTCCTTTATAGATATCTCAATGCTTTTGGGGAATTCGGAGATTACTAAACTTCAAGGACTCATCGAAATATCTTCATGAAGCGGATGTTCTCTTTCTCAACACAAAGACACAAGATGAAGAATTAAGCACAGAGACCTACATCGATTCTGATATAAAAACAGATTCAAATAATAGTAAAACAAATAATTCCACTATCATGAGTCTTTGTTAAACCTATTGTAAAATGGATGAGTATTTGTTCATTTATATTTAATAATATATTTAAACATTTGTGTATATACATTTAATACATTTTTACAATATATGTGCTTAATACCTGATACAGTAATTGATAAATCATACAAAAAGAATTAAACTTTTTATTTGGTGCTTTTTATCTAGAATACATTATGTATAACTATGTAATATTATACATGTTATCTTATGTCTCATTCATCACGTGTTTCCCCTCAGAAACTGAAAGAAGGAGACGTCCTGTACAAGACAAGGTTTGCACAGGTAAATATAGTTTTAAATATATAATTGCTCCTTAAATATGTATGCGTATAAGAAGAGTTTTGACTGGAAAAAGCTTAAAAATCGATGGCCATTTAAAATATTGGTAGGGAGTAAGTATCACGCCTACTTTATAGGACATAAAGATATTGCTTAGTTAAGTCAGTTATAGTATGAAATATGTTAAGATTACTGGAGCTAACAAAAGAGTAGGCTGGATTGATACTGAAAGCGGGTAGACAGTCAAAGAAAGGAAAAGCGCCCGAGTGACCATGATACGAAGGGAAACCAGAATACAGAAAACAAACAAGGAAGCCAGAACGCAAGCCGTGAAAATGTGTAGAAAGAAAAAGTGGGAATGGGAAAAAGCTAATTTAAAAAAAAAAATAGAAGACTTATCAAGAGGGAAGTGTCAGAGGAATGTACATAAAGATAAGAGATGAAAAGATTGGATACCCATCCAGACCAAAAATGTGTGAGAGACAGAATGGAGAATTAACTACGGACAAAAAATTCTGGATAGATCAACTGAATATTTTGAGGAAATAGCAAATGAAGATAACAGACAGGATGAAGATTATCACCAACACATCAAGGATCAGACCCTTTAATAAATGCCCAAAATCTGGAAGAAACTACACAAGCAATCAATTGTATGAAAAATCACATGAGAAGACCTCATCACAGCAGATTTTATTTAATAAGGAGATAAAGAATTGCACTCTCAAACACATGGAATTTAAGGAAATTTCGCAAGAAACGAAAATTGTAACAGAATGGGAAACAGCACTAATAACCCAATACACAAAAAAGGCTCCAAACTTCAATAAAGAAACTACAGAGCAGTTTCCCTAATAAATGTTACATACAAAATGCTGATAAAAGTAATTGTCAGTAGACTTTAGCAGTGCACTTAAAAAATTAACATGTGCCTGACTAACAGTGTGGATTCAGAAAAAAAAAAAAAAAAAAAAAAAAAACAAAAAAAACCAACAGAAAAAAACAAAAAAAAAAAAAAAAAAAAAAAAAAAAAAAAAACAAAAAAATAAAATAAAAAATTAACATGTGCCTGACTAAAAGTGTGGATTCAGAAAAAAAAAAAAAAAAAAGATCACTGACTGATCCGATTGTCAACATCAGATGTACAAGAGAAATGTTACGTAAATAATATCCCAGAACATCAATTTTATTTTGAGTACACATTAATAGCCTAGGACAGCATCAATAGAAATTATATATACACAAATCTGCAGGACTTTGGCATACCCAAACAAACTAACAAGCTTGATACTAGTAACATTAAAAAACTCAAAAAGAGAAATTAAGGTTCATCGTGAATATTGAAGGATATTTCAGATTAGAAGAGGCCTAAGACAAAATAAATGGAATGATTATCTTTTATGCTATTTAAACTAAATTTAGAGGGAGTTATTAGAAGCATACATCTTAAAACACAAGGACATTAACAGAATATTTACTGGGGAAGACCCCAGAACCATAACCAATAGGCTCTCTCTGAAATCGTCCCCTTAAATTATTTTATTATCTTGCATATGTTGATGACATAGCACAGTTAGAGAAAAGTAGAACAGACATATCCAAAGCATTAATTGAAAAAGAAGACAAATCCCTATAAGCAATGCTGTACATTAACAACCTGCAAACAAGACACATGTCAATGTTTAGAGAATAACAGACAGATGAAACCATTAAAATTAGTAAACACAATTTTGATAAGTTGAATCAATTCAAATACCCAGAATACTTGTTGAATAAAAGAAACGTACTACTCAGATAAATAAATGAAAGAACATCGATCGGAAACAGGAAATTCTTTAAGAGTAAGCAAATGCCCAAAAGAAAAACTATTACAGTTAGGTCTGAGAAGAAAGAAGTGGTGGGGCAGGCCAAAACTATGCATAGGCTGTAGCACCACAGGGATGGACAGATTGAATAAAATATTTAATCAATTGTGTTCATAAAATTAATATACTTTTAAAATAAATGTACAGCAGTACTGATAAATAACGGACAAATGATAAAAAAAAGAATTAAATGTTATGTTTATTTTTTTTTATTTATATATTTGTATGCAATATTATATATTTAAAATTTATATAAATTATTACGCATTTTACTTCAGTATCTTCAAGTACACCACCTGTTATAGGTACGCTTTTCACAGGTCAACATCTTTTAACATGTATATTCACTATATAGTTGT